GTTCAATAAAAGTTTCTGAATGAATGAACAGGTGAGTAAAGAATTCCATGAATGTTTAATACCTCTGCGTCATCCCGTTTATGTGTTTTCCTATAGAGCTTACACTTTAAAAGATGGTGATGGGTACACTGAGATGAAAAGCAACTTGCAAATAGTACGAGAACAGAAAAGCGTGTTATTAGCAAAGACCAAAGAACGCAGCTCACCTGGACTGATGTTTTGTGAGAGCTGCTGAGCGGCTGCAAACATGTTGGCTACAGACTCTAGAAACTAAACCAGAAATAGACAATTAGAAAACTATTTAAGCTCTCTTCCCACTATCACAGAGACTGAAATTACTTCTGGCACTTAGTGATTATCAGATAACCATCTCAAATCTATAGCAATCAAACTGTCCCTTCCAATCCATCCGTAAAGGACTGACAATCCTTGCACTTGGCATTTACGTTGGGCGCTGGCATTCTCAAGCACAGACAAGACCTGTGTCCCTGGCATATACCCCACTAGTGTTCTACGAGACACCCCAAAGGAAAAGAAACACTTCCTCTGGGGGACAAGAAGTCAGTAATCCCCCAAATGAGCCAAAGAGCTGTCTTCTTTCAAGAAAGGAAAACAGCTGAGCAAAAAAAAAGAAGGCAAGAAAACATAAAATATCCAGTGTAACGTGAAGGAGGCTAAATTACGCCAAGAACCAGGAGGACAGAATTGTTACCCCATATGCTGTGTTTAGAACGTACGCCATGCCGAGCAAGCACTGGCTTCATTTCACATCATCTTCTCTAGGCTAAATGGTAGAGAGAAACTGGCCTTGACCCACTTGATAAGGGTACTGGGAGGTGGTTCATTTTTCCAAAATGTTCCAAACCTCTCAAAATAGGGAGCCAGAAAATCAATGATGCAAAGTCAAATGATCTTTGAAAAACTGAGAAAAAGAGATCACATCCTATTTAACAAGGGATGCCAAGGGAGATTCTATTCCACTGGGTACACCAGCTGAGGCTTAGGACTATTCTCTTCTGTAAATTTTACCACACTGGGGAGGAGGGAGTTCTAAAAATTATGTCTCTCCTATACCATAAAATGACTGCAGAAGACATCTGAAGTCATCAGCATACCTGAGCAATCTTGGTTTTCTTTTGTTGGAATTTGCAGAGCCGCAGAATCTGGGACCCTGAGTAATCACTGAACTGTTCGTGGAATGGGTGTAACAGCTTTACGGACTCTCCAAAACTTGGGGGAGAAAACCCAAATACAATGGGAGTTATTTTTTGTCATGCAAAAAAAGGCTGGCTTTCCCAATGGGATTAAAAGGCACTCTTACCTGCACACCGCAATCTGACCCACTTCCAGAAAGGTTAGAGCATTTCCAATCACAGCCAGAGATTCAAAGGCAAGCTGTGAAGCAGAAAGTGAAGGGTTGAAGAAATCGGAATATCCTCTACACCAATGCCTTTCAACCTTTTTTATACCAAGATTCCCACAGAAAACACTACTTTTTTGTTATGGCACACAGGGGAACAACATCAATATGGCTATTCACAACCAACTCAGAGGCTTTGGTGGCTTTGGTAGCCTTAGGCCCTGGCTAATAGCACAAGTGCCGAAACCCAATATCCTTTATACTAGTAGGAAAGGTCTGCTCTAGACATCATCCAATAAAAGTGATCTTGAGAAATTTGGTCCATAAATTTTTAAGGTTTCTTCCCCCTTTTTTGACTATATAAAGTAATCTCTCACGGGTAAAAGATTTTAAAAACCAATTTATTCTAATCTATGCATAAATGACAGTATAGTTTCAGAATTTAAATTCAGTTAAAAAGACGACGATACTTGTAGCAACTAACATCTGTTGAACATGCATCAAGTGCCAGGCACTAAACTGAGTGCTCTGCATACATGACTTCACTTAGTCTCATAACAGCTCTGAGCTTGAGTAAGTATTGTTATAATCATTTTTTCAGCTCTGAGCTTGAGTAAGTATTGTTATAATCATTTTTTCAGAAGGTAAAACTCACAAAATGAACTGCCCAAAGTCATGCGGTGCTAAGTGGGGAATTGAGACCTGAACACAGGTGCAGAGGTTACACTTTTTCCAGCAGAGCCTGTGCACAGCCTTCAGGCTGCTCGCTGACTTGTGCTGGGCAACAGCATCACTGCGAAGACCCCCCAACTCTCCACGTCCCTGACGGCGGGGGGAGTGGGGGGG